CACACCACAAGTTGGTTGGTTGGTTTGTTTGTTTTGAATCGGGTCTTCCCCTGCCCGCTGAGCTTCGGGGGGCTGCGGCACGCGGCGGCGCTGGCCGTCCACGGAGCCAGGAAAGCGAGCCGTCGCTTCCACGGCGGGCGCTTCTGAAACACAGCCCTTCCTCTCTCTCCAAATCAGCAGCGGGGACCATCCGCACACAAAAAAAACAGAAGAGCAGGACAATGTATCCATTGCATCTAAATCCAATATAGTCCAATTTTTGGAAAACAATCAACAAGAATAAAAGCATCACATTACAGAAAAGGCCCCTCCATAAGGACTCGACCCCTGCATGGTATCATCAGAAGATACTGACAAAAGATAGAGCTGACAGAACTAAATAGGAAAAGGATTTAAAAGCATACCTCCCTTTGTAACACTGGGAACATCCCTGGAGAAAGTCCCAAACCTCATTTATTTCATGGGAACTTTAGGAAAATTATTGCAAAACACTAGCAATTGTACTTTGCTGAATATAAACAGAAGAAAATATATAACAAGCAGATCCTGGAGAGCATGTAAAGGAACAGAAACTTTTCGGCGTACTCAGTTAAAATGCCATAGCAGTCGCTGGAAGGATAATCAAATTTGAGCAAACTCAAGTTTGGCTATCCACATCCGTAACGGTTCTTTCAGTTTAGGATCTAAAGGAAGTTACTCACAGGGACGGGGAAAACCAGAGGTCAACTCTCAAAAACTGCCATTCTCAGGAGAGCTATGCTCGTCTGCATGAGATAGGGGCCAACCAAAATCTTTTAACCCTAAACATGGGCTATATTCCACCTTTCTAACCTACTGCAGAACAGGGCTTACGGGACATTCGCTTGATCACGTCAGAGCGTGCGTGTGTACGTACGCGCTAGTGGTCTCACAGTAAGTCACAAATTTATCAGCCCGTTTTTACCTTGTTTTTAATACAAAAATTATTCCTGAAAATCTACTTTTTTTTTTCCCCTATTACTGTATGACTCATATGCAACTTTAGCAGGAAAGGGGAAGAAAGAGAATGAAATTTCTGGACAGGCTAGATTGCTCAGTGATATTCTCAAGTATATATTTATGAGTCTTCCTGGTATTTTTGTTATGCAACTTTAGCTGGAACAGACTGGTTAAGTCATGAATTGCAACAAAACAAAGCAAAAAGATTTCATTCCCAAGAGCATTGGCAGCAACGCTCAGTAAACATGGGTGAGATCCCAGAGAAGCCAAACGATTAGACATAAAATTCTTAATGATTTTTAGCAACTAGTTCCCTTACATTTTGCTAAGCATCCACAACATACCTTCCAGCTACTCCAAATAACGAAAAATATGTTGAACTCCATTCACTGCAGGTCATTTTAAATCTTACCAATTATACACTCAAGCTGAGTTTGCAGCAAAATCTCTGATGTCACTCTTATACAGAAAAAAATGTACTGTATCTGATCAGTGTCATTAAGGTAAATCTCTAAAACAATGTCTGCATTAATTAGCTATAATCTTAGCCCTGCTTTCATCCAGGACTTCTTACCAGCGTGGGATACAGAGCTATCCCACCGAACGGGAGCTAGATGCAACAGACAGATTCTCTCTTGCCATTAATATTTTCATATTTCAGAATTTCTCCCCACCCTTTCTAGGAGCCATGAGTAGCAGAAACCTAGAAAGATCTGTATCAAGATCCTTTCATTCTATATAAGGGATTCAAGTCACGCCTGTCAGGCCTGCTCCAAAAAGCAGTCACTATGATCACAGATCAGTGGAAAGCCATGTGAAGTTTTCTGTTAAAGATATTTATGTTTATAAAATTGCATTTCAACTCCCTGGAAATAGTTACAAAAAAAAAAAAAGAGCATTACAGCTTTGGAGAAAACTAAACTAAATGAAGACTTGCTATAGTTGTTTAATAGGTAGAAAAGTATTCATCAGAAACACTTTAAAAGAAAAACAACCCCAGCTTTTTGATCACTCTTCATTTCCATTCAATGCGCCTTCCTGTGCCCCAAAAAGGTTATCTGTATCTTGTGGCATTTTGGTTTTGCACTTTTTTCCCCCTTTTTTTAATCAAGGATTTGTAATCTTAATTCACTCAGTGAAAGCAGTTTATATTCAGAGACTATTTTCAAGGGCTAGAGATTAAAATGGGGCACGTGGCCATTTTCCTGCTGTTTTACGCCTGGCAGCGCTGCATAACCTCAAAGTCTGAAATACAGCATCTTTTTGATGTTACATGCATGGAATATTTCATCAGATGAGGCTGTTTTGCTCTTCAAATATGTATGTTCACAGTAAATATAACCTACCTATCCCTGCAGGTAAAACGTGGTGGTGGTGGTGGTGGTCAGGAGCTCCCATGCCCTACCTGCACCCACCTGAAACGCCGCCAGGCCGTTTGCTCTCCTCCTGACGAATGCTATACGAATTCACCGGCGAAGCCAACACCTCCCTCACTGGCAACCTCCAGCGCACTCAGCAGGGAAGACCACAGGGTTACTGCAATAACCTATAGTCATTTTAAAGCAGCTGAACATTATGGAGACAGGTGAGACAGTTGCCTGCTAAAGCTGAGCAGACTTTTCTGCTTAAAGGAGGAATATAACACTTGGTTTAAAGCAACATATTAAGACATTCGGGATTCAAATCTTATAGATCTTCAGCAAGATCTTTCAGTCTTGCTGAAAATTAGAGACGTTTTCTCTAAAAAAGTTATTAAATATTAAAACAGACATTTAAAAATACTCTTTGAATTTTGGACAACCTTATTCCACCTTCTCTCCAGCCCTCTATCCAAACTGCCACAGCACTTGGACACCACAGACACATGCATTGGAGAGCACGTACACAGGCCTACGCACATCAATTCTGTCCCAGAAAGCTGGTTTGAATTATCCAAATGCAAAAGCATTTCCTGGTAACATTTAGTATTTTACCAAAAAAGGCCTGCCAATACAGTTCTCCTCAATTTTTTACTTGTCATCTCTGACATTATCTCCATAACTCATCAGCAAGATTTAGCAGACGTTCCCTGCTGAAGACAATTTGGCAGAAAATGAAGACAGCTGTCTTAGGTGTGCTAAAGTAAAAGTAACAGTGATACGCGTTAGAACGACAAAATAAGGACATGAATAGCTAAGAAAAATGCTATATAGGTTAAAACACCAAGCTATTGTCAAATATACTATGTTACAGGCATATATGTGCACAAGACAAAGGAAGAATCACTTCTATTGTGCAGTTCTGGTGAATACAGCTCACGTCATTAGCAGTCTTACTTTCGTAAATATTCCTGGTTTACCCAAAGGAGACGTTTTAATTGAGCTACGGCTCCCTGGGATCTCTCTTGCTTGTAGAAACTGAACGCTGCAATTGCTATTCTTGCTTCCTTTAAGAACATATCTCTTCCCCTCATTGGAAGTGGTAGGAATCGTGGGGGATGTTGAAGATCTTTTGTTTTGCGTTTTTCTTGTTTTATTTTCTCCTGAAACCAAGTTACAAACTGTATCTCTGCCTTTTTTAGCAAATTATTTTTAGAGGCTGTGGAAGGCTGGGGGAGCAAGGAGCTGAAAGCGTCAGAGATGTCCTACGAGCAGCTATTTGATCGAGGGCAAGCTCCCTCCCAAGAGGCCAAAGGCTGCTGAGGGTGGCCTGCAGTAGTCATGGCTGAGGGACTGAGGTAGCCCCCATCTGCCACCTGCTCTTTCAAATTCAGAGGATATTTGCAAATCAACTTCCAAGGTGTTACTGTAAAAAGGCAGCTTTGGAAAGGGATAAGCAACCAAGGAAGTGCTACTTTACAAAGATCATGCAAACTATAATTGCATTCTTTATAACTCTCAATTCCACCAAGTTTTTCTTCCCTTACCTTACTTCCTAAAACTGTAATCAAAGTCAACAGAATTACAGAAGGTAGACGATACCTTCACAAGAATCCTCATTAGTCTTCCTCTAAAGTGTAGTTTTGGTTTCTCTTTTCCTCTTTTCTAAACATTAGACTTGTGAAAAAAAGTAGCTGAGTTAGCTGGGAAGGGATCACATGAAGTTCAGACAGGCATAGCCAACCAGCACTTAAAAAATGAGTAAGGAGGGAAAAGGCTCTAAGCTTCTTTCCCGCCTATATTGTGCTTGTTTCCCGATTCCGTGTCCCCCAGAAATCTCTCCGTTCCTCAGACAGGAAAAGTGAAGGCACACAGTTGCTTAAAGGATATTTCCTTTTAAGAAGGGCTTGCTCTAGGACAAGACACATCTGAAGACTGAACTGAGAGCTGTACTCTGTAAAACTTTCATTGCTTTGCCCTATGTGATTCCTAGGGCTAGGTCCTGTCAATATTTAACTTAACAGCAGGTTAAGCTCACAGCTTTCAGCAAGACAGACATTGGTGAGCAAAAGTTTCTTGGAGGGTTTCAGCTGACAGTAGAAACTGGCAGGAATCTCATTAGTATCAATTCCTTCATGCAGCCTAGTGTCATCTATCACAGAGTCATAGAAGTATTGGGGACCTCTGGAGACCACCTGATCCAACCCCCCTGCTCAAGCAGGTCACCTACAGCAGGTTGCCCAGGACTGCGTCCAGTTAGGAGTATCTCCAAGGATGGAGATGCCACAACCCCTCTGGGCGACCTCTTCCAGTGTTCACCCACCCTCATGTTTTATTTCACATTCTGACAAAATAACTTGGCTCTTTTCAGCCCTTCATTTGTCTTTGCCTGGGAGAACTTCTTCCTTAAGCAAAGCGGCACATGTCACGGCTCACTTGGCACGCTCCAACTACAGGTTCCCTTCCACCCCTTTTGCAAAACCTGCTAAAACATCAGAATTAACATCATTACTCCACATACGCTTTGATGAAAAGAAAATGAAAAAAAGGCGGGGGCTGAGGTGCTAAATGGACAAGAATAAGCTTAAAAATAATGTTCCTAAAATTAAATGTTTCTAAAATTGAATAGAGGACTTTAGACTTTTGATTTTTTGTTGTATAACATGGTCAAGTTTATTGTAAACTCTGGGTTTTACAGTGCACAGCTAGTATAGCAGCCCTGAGCAGGCTTCTTCCTGCTGGCTCTTTACATTATCTTTGGCTGGCTCCGCCTGGACTAGCAAAATGCTTCCAAAGCAACAAAGATTAGACTTCGATACTGAAGTGCTTTCTACTAGGGTTTCTTCTTGGGTTTCAGTTTTCCCATCTTCACTGGCACCTCAGAAATTTAGGTGAAAACTGCTCAGTCCTTTCCTCCTGAACAAGAACTCCTACTAATTACTTCCCCAGCATACAGAAAAGGCATAGCATCATCTTTTCCCCTAGTCTGCTGAGGGCAGATGTATCCACTTTTATACATAAGACTTCTGGGGGAAGAGAGTAGTAATTTTCCAGAGCATTTGCTTTTCGTCTTTTCTTGCCTGCAACAGAACTTTTAAAATAGGACAGTACAAAGACTCCCTCCATCTGGTTACAACTGGCTAGCATGCCCAGATACAACCTGTTACGTATTAAAGCAGCAAGATAATTTTCAAATTATTGGTATGCATTGGCACATCAAGTACAGGAACTGTTCTATACATATAGCACATGCATCATTCCCGTTTAACTTTCATTACCTTATATTTCTGTGTATATACAATTTCTACCAAGATTTTCAGAAATACTCTTCCTGTTAAGGAAAATTCTATTCTTTGACCTACTGTTTTCCAGATCTTCGGGTCTGCCCTTTCCCTGCTACCTCCCCTAGATTCTTCTGGTGTTGGTAACCACAGCAATTCAGGCCTTCAATTTTTTAGCCGTAGTTCTCTTGTATCCATTACTCTGATCCAGTCTAATGGTTTCCTTAATATAGCTTTTTCTGAAAACCAAGGTCCCCAAAACAGTTACATATTTATCCTTTCTGAAATTAGCCACTATAATAGTTTAAAATTGCTTACTCTATTTTATCCAAGAGTCTCCTGAAGGGATTTTAGCAGCTGTGGGTGCTCTAAGAAAATCAATTAAAACGTGTCATATTATCCTAAATGAATTTAAAATAAAAAATTCTGAGTCTTGGAAAGAAAATAAATAACTTTGACTACAACCAAAAAAATCAGGAAGAAGCTGGAGCCTTCTCATGGCTGATTACAGAGATAAAAATAAAGACCAGCTATTCAGCAGGGAAGGTTTGACATTTAGCCAGCACTGCAACTGTAGGAATCCAGAGAACTTGTTAATAAAAAGGAGGCATCTAGTAAGCCGAGATGCCTATAGGTTGGATTGCTGTGAGCAACCGTTTGTGGGCTTGTAATCACAACCTTAAAATTAAGTGCTCAAGATCTTAGAGTCCAATTGCAAGCATATAATATTACTTTGAGATCTTACCCCTCAACCCACAGACTCCATGAAAAATTAACACTGAATGCAAGCGGTAGTACACTTGGATAGTAATAAAAAACATCAAAACCTTACCGCTTTATGCAAGATGCTGCCACAGTTGGTGCTCTTAACAAGGGAAGAGGGTAAATGGTAGATCATATGCAAATAAAATAGACAAAATGAGATGGTAAATTTTACTGCAGTGGAGAACTAAGACTAGTCATATCACATTCCTGCATTCATCTCAAAACTGTCACATTTATCTTGATTACTTGACAAGATTTGAAATGATAGTTTCAAAGAAATCAGCTGATTAAAATTCCCACTACATTAGCTATCGTTTTTTTTTACCTCTGAATTGGTGAGCTCTGCATGTAAGGGTGGCTATTATCTAATCCCAAGTTACAAATTCACTATCAACAGTATTAACATACAGAAGCAATATTTGCATAGCAGGATCTGTATAACACAAGTGGCCAAGAAGCCAATCAGAACATTCAGTACCTGCATAGCACAAGAACACAACTATTAACATAGAAATTTGTCAATATATCAAACACACAATGCAGGAATGGAGCCATTTGCAAAAACATTCCCAGTACTGCGAGCTAGGAAGCAAAATGAAAGGACGTACCGCCAAACTGACTTCCCTGATAATGCAACACCTTGAACTACCCTAATCCGTTAGCATTCTTAAAAATGGAATCACACAAAGACCTAGATATAAGTTAAAGTCCACAAAAATTCATTAATTTACAACTGTAAGTTATCTAAGCTTAGACTGATAAAAATGAAATGCCATTTCAAACAAAGTTTAGGGCCTAATTTGTGAAATTAACTTTATTTTGAAACATGATGTCCAATTACAAATAAATAATTCATACAATATAACTGAATTATGATATACAACGAACGTTCAGGCAGTTCATAACAACAACCAAGATCACACTGAAAATGAGTTTATGTTAAATAACCAATTACAACAATGTACAACTGGTCATTCTATTAACTTTTCAGCCTGGTCCAAGGTGTATATTATTTGAAGATGATTGTTCCTCTTACCAGTAAATATACAGATGTACACAATTTTATAATAAGTCCAAAGGAGTTAATACATCACATTAATAAAAATGCTGCACAATAGCCTAAATGTAATTTTCGTAAAGGAAAAAACTTGTGAATTTTAGCAGGATAAAAGTTATTGCAAAGGAGACTTATGTCCTATAGCAATTTCCGCATAAATTTACAAGCTTTATAGGATGCTTTTACGTATAGTTTCAATTCTATACATTTTTCTGCACCCTATCTATAAAATTAGTAACATGTAGGTATGCATCATGTTCTTAGTCTCAATTGCACATCGTTTTTCACTTTCATTTCAGCAAAATATTTTACGGCTGAGAAGATACAGCTTCCCATTGAGGTACAGTCTTTTGTATGTAAACTGCAGCAGTAGCAACATCAGTAAACCTGCAAGGTCTTTCTGGCTTGTAATTTTCAATTTCCTAACGTATTTCAGTGAATACTATTCTTTGGAGAAAAAAAACAAACACCCTTATAACATCTAGATTGAAGTCAGTCTAACATCCTGGAATGCTTTTAAAATAATCATAAGAATTAAAAGGAGATTCACTGCAACCTTGGAATGTCTGGGTCAGTCAGTTGTTTTTTATAATGGAATATATTTTAATGCTATGTAAATTTTCACAACAGAATAAGTAGCTACAATTCCCAACGATTCAGAATCCTGGGAAGTCATATTTACAAATGTTTTGTCAAAAAGCACCCCTGCCCTCTAGGGCCCTTCAGGTACAGTACATACCCCTTATTCTCATTTTGAAAACTCGGAAAGACTGTTTAAAAGTTACAACTCTTTTCATTACAAAAGTCGCCACATGATGGAGACTGCTACTTCTAACCATGCACTTTTCATAATTGCCTATACAGCTGTCCACAGCATTTAGGACACATGGAGTACATACCATCAGGCTTTTTTGTTCTTCTTGTTACACTGGAGATGGGAAGACAAACAACAAAGATAACAGGTAAATTCTTGGTTGTCATGTAGTGCATCCATGCAGGTACCACTAGGATTTCAATAAACTCCCCTGAAGCAGTCTTTCTCCTCAACAACACAAGAGCACAACGTAAGCACACTGTGGCCAAAATATCAAGAAGGCATAGCAGTCTACCGGACTAGGACTGCCAGAGCAAGGAAGCCGTTTATCCGAAGAGCAACTGTGTTATGTTCCCACTGCAGCCCTGGTCAATTACTGTAATCTTTTCTCTTCTGAGAGGCATGGACACTCAACTGGACAAGTGGCCTCAACAGGACATGAGAGTACTCAGAATCTAGCAGGATTAAATTACATATTTTGTTATACTTCGGGAGAAATAGATACTTAATAAAAATACTTTAAGCCCATATGTGTATTGTAAGCAACTTTTTATCTTCAATGTTTAGACTACAATCATTAAACTTGCTTTATTTTCACATACAGTAGAAGAAATAAATGCCCAAATGAATCTGATGTCTGAAGGAGGAACTGTATCTAATCATTTTAAATACATTAAAAAAACTGAACTGAAAAATCAAATGCAATTAGACTGCAACCCAATCTTGAAATTGGGTTAGAAGGAAAATGAAAAATATTTTGAAACCATTTTAAAGTACCTATTCTTTTATGCAATTTATCCAAAAGCGTATCTAAATTATTAGCAGAATAAAATACTAATTTCAGACTCCTTCTGAATTAATCAAAAAGTAGTTTTCGTTTAAATCTGCTGTACAATGCACCAAGCGATATACATAGTACTTCAGCAATTTATTAATTTTCACCAAAATCACAAAAAAATGTAATGGACTTCCTGTGCTGAGTGCAAACAATTTATGAAAACTGATGGAGTGCAGATATATATTTATGCCTAGCATACCGTGTGACATTTCCCCCCAGACTTGGTAGTTTCCACGTACTGATTCTTCAGTCACTTTCCAACATTAGTTTTATCTCTACTTGTCAGAAGTTTATATTAATGATCTAAATATTTGAAGACATTAATCTCATAAATGTGGCTCTGATTTCTTTTCATTGTTTATATTCCATTTGACAAACTAAACAAAAATTCACCAAATGCTAATAGTTTTTCCACACATAGCAGCAGAGGAAATCCATGAACAGTAGGTGTAATGATAATTTAATGTAAAAGACGGCAAAAATCTTTTCATTTTACCAAAACTGAAGTAAGTACAGGGAACTTACTTAATAACTTGCATCTCCAACAGAATTGCTTTCTATAATCAATCGATAACAATAGATAACAATAATCAATTTAAATAATATTTCAGAATTTGTAATTCAATGAATTTGTAATCCTTATCAAACCATCTCCCAAAATTCCCATGTCAAAGCTTCACAGACACTAACAGCAGCAACTCCTTCCGGGAAACAAAGCTTCTGCTGTGCAGAATTGCTGTATGCTACCACGGCATAGCATTAAGACCTTGATTCTTAGTGCTACAGGAAAACATAATGCCTGGGACAAAACATCTCCAAATCAAAGACCTTTGAGTATTTGCTCCCTCACAAAGTTTACTGATGTATGCCTTTTCACATTCTCATGTAACCCTGATTAAAGTATTCTTTCTACATATATTTTGAAAATAAAATTCACACCTGAAACAAATTTGAAGGCTCTCACTTAAGACCTGAAGAGCCGCCACAGCTCCTGAAATAATATTCACATATCTGTGATAAAACAGAAATTGAGACTCCTTCCTAAAGTAAGAAATTCAGGTGTAACAAACAAGCCAAGTAACATAAATAGTACTGGTTGACAAAATGTTCAAATATGTTTTCAAAGCAAAAAATGCTGAAAAAAGAACACAAAGGTAAGGGAGATTTTTAATGGCACAAACGGCAGCTAGGCACTGTGGAAGCTGAGAACTTAACTGTCATTATGACTTTAAAAATCCCCCACAAAGCATTTGGGTTGCAGCTAGAACAGGATTCTTATCAGTTTTACAAACAACAAGAGAACAAACTGGTATATTGTCTAAATCTGATGAAAAAAGAGAAAATTTGTTACCGGCCCTCTGCTAAAAAGAAACTGCCAAACTTAGTGTTAAGCAAAATTAACTCCAAGAGATCTTATTAGCTCTAAAGAATTCAACTATTGTATGAAATGGTCCTTAAGATATTTCAAAAAGGAGTTTCTGTATTTTAGAGCTTATTCTGAGGTGTAACTTTTGCTGTGTTAATAGCATCTTTTGTATTAAATAAGCGTTAACTAACATCTGCAAGAGTACCCGCCTTTATGCGAAGCTGTGCCTTGAGCATCTTTTCATTTCAGATAAAAACAAAAATAACCATTAGGCACATATTAAAGGTGTATTACACAAGCTGGAATGTCAAATAGTTTCCTCCCTCAATTTTAAACAGACCAATGGCACAGCAGCAAATCACCTGGTCCTCTGTTCAGCAACAATCAAATTTATATTCATTTTCAATTTACATAATTTCACAACATCCATACCTTCTTACATTTAAATAATTAGGTAAAAAAAGGCCTCTAGTATAACGATTTTTTATATAGCCAAGTTCTCTTTATATACATCCAAACTTTAAAGATACAAACAAAACATTATACAGGATTTATAAACATTTAAAAACTTGAGGCTTCAGAATCACAGTTTCCCAAAAAGACTCGGGAAAATCCATAGACTGACAAGGTAGCAGAGAAAACTGGAAAAAAAGGAGACAGACACAAGTTTGCTGCCGTAACATTTTACTAAACTTGTCAGTCAGAACGGTGGTGTTATCAGAAGTAACAGTTTAAGCTGCAAACGAGGAATGGTGGTTTTGTGTGTTGATCTCAAGCGCTGAGACAGGTGATTCAAGTATTTCCTATTTGATCCAAGCTCACTGTAGCAAAGTGGTGCAGAAAAATGAATTATTTTATATTTTTTCCATACATTCGATCAATGTCTGCTTGATAGTATGCTGTAAGCTCTTTGCGTTTTAGTTTGAACGCATCTGTCACTAGCCCAGTCTCAGGGGTCCAAGGATCGGGGCTCAAGCGAATTTTAACTGGTATTTCAAATTTCTCCAGATTAGCTGTAAAAAGAAATATTTTACTAAAATATTTAAAATGTAACCACTTATTCATAAATAATCCTAAACAGGAGGAATCATATTCTCACACAGAAAAGTATGTGATGTGAACAAAGACGTGCTCCTCAAATCCCCCCCAGTTAGCTCCAAAAACCTCAGGGTGGTCACAAGCAGAGCCACAGGAGCTATCACTAATTATTCTCCAGTTCCCACAGAAATACTGAAATAAACCCCAGATGTTTGGGCATCTGTGCTGCTCCCTAACTTTAGAAATGCCTCAGCACATGGAGATGACTTCCACAAAATATAAGTTGTCATGTCAGTGTTAAAATACTCATCTTCTGGAGGTAACAAAGGGTCAGAAAATCCCTATTTATGCTGCAAAAACATTTTTTGCATTTTTTCTCCTGGTAGTCCTAAAACGTTCAAGAAGCGTAAGTTCATACAGTAGCCATTTCCCTTACTGAAATGGCCCACTGGTCCACATACTATACATTTGGTATAGAACAGCATTTAATTTGTAAGATCTTCTGCTATCGCTTCAGACATAACAGAAGAAAAACAACACTAAGAAAATTAATCAACAGATGGGCTATATAAAAAAGTCTATTTTCAGATTAAATGCAAAAAATTTCCAGATACATAATTATGCTTTGTAACTTGACATTTTTCTATTTTTTCCTGCTTCTCTTATTTCCCTTGACACTACACCACTTTCACTCAGAATGCTCATATTCACCTTTGCTCAAGCAATTTTAAGACTGTGACTCCAGTTCCAAGTGCGAAAAATGATTTCGTTTATTTATATATAATTACTCAGCTGATGAATATTTAAGGACTGAGGCCTTGGGTCCATGTTTCAGGTCCAGAGTCACACCTCATTTGAGAAGTTTCCCATCCACTCATCCTTGACCCCATCCCATATCTCACCTACGCCAGTAGAACAGTCTGTGAGACCAGCTTATAATCCATAATATCAATTAACAGTTTTTTCCAACCAGATTGTTGTGGTGGTTTGGTTTATAGTGCAAAAGACACACAAAGAATTACTTCAGCAAAACTGCAGTGGTGATAAACAAAGCAAATTTTATTGCAGGAGATAATGTAACATCAAACTACAGCCTACTACATTAGGTCTACCTTGTAACTCTGAACCAGGCCACGCTCAGAAAGAGCATCACAGACAAGGCTGCCTTCTCACTCACCGACTGTCTGCTGCCACAAGGATGTCCTCCATAGAGAGGAAGATGGTGCCAATTACAACAGCACTTATGGACTTGCAAAAGTAAGACATTAAGTGTTTGCCTGCATGGACGCGTTATGAAAGAGTAAATTTAACATGGTACCTACTCTGTACTAGCTTCCTCTGAGGATGTTTACACACACTAATAATGACTACTTCAACTGCACGAAGGTAATCTTAACGAAGAAAAACGTAGTGCAATTTGGAAAACTAGCATAAGAATCAACTTATAGCATACAAACAGTAACAGGACGCGTACAAAGCAATTAACAGACGGCTTTGCACAGCATCCTCTATTAGGTATGTGCCAAACATATGCAACTGTACCAGCAAGGGGACCTCAAATCACTAGATGAACCAGTAAATCACTTTTTTGCGTATGTGCACACACAGTGAAGGAAAATGGACTAGTGACACGTGGCAAGGAAAAGCATCTGCCACAGTGTTAAGATGAAACTGCACTCCTCATAAGAGTATGCTCCAATAAGAGAAGTCTGCAAATACACAAAGAGTTTAGGATATTCACAGGCAACCTGGAGAAGAGATGAGGATTAACAAGACAAAGATTGTTAAGTATAAAATTATCCAGGGGAGCAAATATAAGAGTAAGTTGCAAAGAGCTGCATAAGGGCCTCCTGATAGTGAGTTACTGCAAAACAAAACACTAGAAGACATTCAATGAAGACAAATGTAGAAGAGAGTTCATATGAGAAAAAAATTAAACCTCCACAATGACCATTTAAGAAATATCTTGTGGTCATAACAGACAGCTATATGAAAAAAGCTCAATGCTTGGCAATGGCCAAAAGCAAAAAAAGGCAGAAATTATTATAAAAGAACAAACAAAATATCACTGTGCCATTGTATAATTCTGCACTACAATAGCTAAATACACTATGACAGGTTAGCTTGAGAAAAGATACAACAGAGGTGGAAGTATAATAGACACGGGGGAAAAAAAGTCATGACTGCCACTGTAACTGTTCACTATCTCTTCCAATACAAGAACTTGGAAGAATCAAATTAAATTAGCAGGCAGCAGGGTGAAAACAAACAAGAGGCATTTCTTCACATCACCACAGTTGAGCTGTGCAAGTCTGCCACAAGATACTATAGGTGCTGCTAAGTGATATTTAGATAACTTTAAAACGTGACTAGAATAGTTAACAGAAGTCTACTAAAAATTATTAAGTGTGAAGACACTACTTTCAGTTTAGGAAGTCCCTAAGATACAAGTCACTGGAGGCTAGGACAGCCCATTATCAGCGGACTTACTGCAATAACCTATGCAAAAGTATGTAGCACATGTGAGACTGTATGGTACCCAAGGCATACTCAGGGTATTGGTAGACACACCATGGATCTAGATAAAAAAAACCCATTTTCTTCTGCCCCAGCCACTGGAGGCCAAAAAGATGTTATAGGACATTTTAAAGAACATCAGAAACTTATTTTTTAGGGAACTGAATTGAGCTTGATATGTTTGCCCTTTTCTTACACTCTTCCCTCAGTCAGTGGCCCCAGTGCGGCAGGGGAGAGGGTTTTAAAGCCTACATGGACCAAAAGGGCTGATCCAGTACTCTGACCTATGCATGTTTTTTGTTTTTGTTTTTAAGAAAATTCACTTCATATATATTCTGTGAATGCATAATGAAATGTTTTCGCATAAGGAAATATTTTTAGAGTATATGCTTATTTGTTTCACACCATTGCTCTCCACAAGGCAAGTACTAACTGCCTGGCTACTCACCTGCTACGGCAGCCTCAGCTAGTAACTTCAGTACCTCTTTTTCCATCTCAGGACTGTTACAGATCTCTTCCCAGGTTCCTTTAAATCCTTTCTTTCGAGCTAGTTCTGCGAGCTCCTTTTGATTTGGCACAACAAATCCAATGACATAAGAATGGAAACTGAGAAGTATAACGTACTTTAGTATGAATTTTGTAAAGTTAACAAGACCTCAGAAATAACATTTGAAGTTGGGAGGTTTGCGTTTCATACAGAGATATTGCTCTTTAGCAGTTGGCTTTTGTTCACCTGATAATCTCTCCAAAATCTCTCACAGAAATTACTTTTGCCTGCTTAAAAGTAAGTAGAAAGAGAAGTTACTTACCTTACAACAACTGGATTGCTCCAAGGTGTGCTGTCCATATGCATATTCCACTGTGCCTCATGCTCAAAGCTTTGGGGAAGCAGTACCCATACGATGTCAATGCGCCCTGCCTCTCCTCATGTTTTGCATCCCGGTATGAAGACTGGTGTGCGGCTTCCCTACCTCAGTTTCCTCTCAACTGCAGAATTCAGTTACTGTAGAGGAGTAGAGGACTGCAGTGAAGAGGGGTTGGAGAGCAGGTTGTGGAATGAGCATATGTACAACACATCGTAAAGAATGCCCGTTTCTGTAAGGCAGGCAACTTCTACAACACATCGTAAAGAATGCCCGTTTCTGTAAGGAAGGCAACTTCTCTTTCCCTTTCAAGTGATTGTCCATACGCTCATTCTACCGTTGGCATCTTTGTCTGATACGCCTAGAACATATGGAGGTGTGATTTCAAAGCCTTTGCGAAACTCTGAAGCCTAATTTACCCTGAAACAAATATTCAAAATTTGTGAGACAGTGTAAAGTTTAGAGGAAATGGGAACAGAACCTCACATGGAAGCTCTACACATACGAACAATGCAGATCACAGAATCTGAGAGCTGAAAGAGACCTCGGATGATAACCTAATTCATTCACCTGCCCTGAAGCTGGATCAGCTACATCTAACATGTTTTCCTGACTGGTTGTTAAACATCAGACAAAGGCTAATGCCAATGCTTCATTATCTGTACCACTGAGAGGCTGTTCCTCATGGCTATCTTCATGCTTCCTTTCTGCAGTTTAAGGCAGTTGAATTTTCATAGAGCCAACAATGAGATGTCGATAGATACCATTTTAGCTTATTCTTTAGTTTCTAACATGATTTTAAAATACTAACTCCAGATGCTCTCCAGGTTACTCTACACTGAAATTTTCTTGTCACCTGTATTAATTTGTAATGGCTATCTAAAAGCACTTTTTTGGTGAACATTGCACAAGAACCTATTACAAACGTAGGCTTTTCACATCACCTGTTGACAAGCTTAGCCATCTGGCCAACTCCAAACCTTTCTTGGCCTTCCTCTTGCTATTAATGCACTCACAGTGCATGCACTAATGCCTCAGTATTGCTTACTACTTGCGTTTCATCTCCTGTCTTTGCTTCTCCGATTTTTCTGCACACTCGTGCTATACTCTGAACTGAACCCTTTTAACTTGGACTCGGGTCTACTCCATAATATATATCCAAGAAAGATAAGGCATCCAGATGCTCCTCCTGCTCCATACTTCTTGCATTAGTATCCTGCCACCTAAGAAGTCTTGGTATCACTACCTGTGCCAGCCATGTATTTACCTTCAGAGAACGTCTGTCCCAGCTAACCTGCGTCCAGAACAAAAAGGACTCTGACTCTCTCTACTATCGTTGCTGCTGCAGATCTTTCCAACTTGCTAGCTTCTTCAGTCTTGAAAGTCTTAACAACAGCATGAAGGAACGATCAGAATCTTCAGAGTGAGCAATCTTCAAAATTATGGATTCTTAGTCATCTCCTCCACGCTAAGAGATTTTGCCAAAAAGTTTCTCCTACGCTAGACATCCACTAAACAACCTTCCCTTGCTGTTCTTAGGATCCTACCTCAGTATGGCCCTAGGCCTAACATACGAGATTGCTATGCTGGCACTGCATGTTGATATCATCATTTCTATTCTGTAAAGTTCGGTCCTTATCAACTCTTCATGAACTTCCTTCTTCAAACTTCCTTGTTTTTTTGCCCTATGTTTGCTCATTCCTCAAGTAACCAAACTCAGTTTCCTGAGGTGATGCTTCAGATCGTGTGAGTGCGTCTTGGATAGGGGGAGCATTGATAAAGTTGTGGTATCCTCTTCTGAAAGAAATCTAATTATGACTCCTTTTCAGCAAACATTTTATTCTTTATCTCACTGAGTGTTTTTGTCTGAAGCAGTCAGTGAATGTAACTTCTGAGGCAGCGATACTGCACAAACACTTGCTTTCCTGCTTTCATCTTCAGAGGAGCTTTGCACCCCAAGATCTAAGGTCAAGTCACAGATTTAACCCATTAGTAAAAGAGCAGTTTGCCCTCCTCGCCCTTTTGCTTGCAGGAGGTAAAACATCTACAAATAACGTACTCCTCCTGTATATGAGATTCATCCAGGCAAAGTATAAGGAGAGACAGGATACAAGAGAGGTCATAGGCACTGCTAACCAAAAGTCTCTGAGCTCACATCGCTGAGGTGATTATCTACCCACAATGAAACGTGCATATGGACAATCATTCAGAGAATCTGTATTACACAGTTACTTACACCACGTTATACACATGAAAGTATTAAGAAGAAATAAAGCAACAGCAGAGAAACAATCATTAGTGTACTTGGACTCTGTTTTTAAATTACCTTTAAAAACTGCTCATACTTTTTCCTATTTTTAAATAACACATGAGGCATGGACTATAGAGTCAAGTATCTTCCGCAAGAAGTCTTTCTGAATTTTGGAATAGCACCATTACAGTTCTGAGACAACAGGACAAACGTAGCCAGGGCATGCTGTATTCGCCCGGCTGTATCCATCGAAATAATCCTGCTCTGCTGGGTCCTGCTTCTACATGTTTTGATCACATACTAGAGAAAAAAATCCCGCAGTTATAGTTCATTGTAAAGGTAGGATAAGTCAAAGAATAAATATAACCTTAAAAGTCTCCACAACAAAGAACAGCTGAAAAACAGCTATCTGTCCTAACTTATATTGGAAGATGGATCAGAAGACTTTACTCTCTTCATTTCTTCAGACACTGAGCATACTAAAACAGTGCAAGTTAGCAGGATATCTGCAGCAACGTGGAACCAGATTCATCCACAAATTCATTAACTTGGCTATCAAGAAGGAGCTTTGCAATCAGTAAAAGGTAGCTGACTTATTTTACCTTTTCAAGCTCCAAATAGGCATATACTCCAAGTATGCGGAGCTGACTGCTAGTACTATAATAAAACTTTATTTTTTAATTATCTATTAAATGCATGTATTTAAAGCCTTCGTAAATGTTAAAGGCAAATGTAACTCTCAAAGAATAATGTTTAAAAAGTTATTCCGCAGAGCAAAGACATTAACAAAGCTGAATTCTCTTGCTCACTCACTATGTCCATATCCAGCTCTTGGAGAGCCAAATTTTTCCTCCAAGTTGTATTAGAAGTGTATCAGAAAGTAACAGTAGTACATTTCTGCTGCAGTGATCTTATGACATAGTGAAGAAAAAAAGGAGGAGGTCAATAAAAAAGGTACTATTAGCAAAAAGCATAAGTGTTTTTTCCAGTATACTGTAAATGTTACGTTGATCTAGCAAAATTAACACAAACTTGATAGGACAGAATTTTAATCCTAGAACAGCAGAAATCACCATCTGGAGGAACCTCTCTCTCTCCCCATTTACTATACAGGGTACTCAGAACAGGCATGTAACTTCAGACACAAGGAGACATGACTCTCACCCAAAGGGGTAAAAACCACAGTTAAAAGCAAATATAATGAAAGTGTTCCCAGCTGTGGTACGTCCAGTGCATCTTCTGAAACCGTCAACACTGAATACTTACATGGTGACTACTGACAATTAAGATAAAACACAGAGAATCAGGCGAACAAAAAGTTCTTTTTCTACTTATTACTACTCCTAGCCTTCCTCAAAGTTATTAAGTGGGAGTTTTTTTGGTCACACTGGCAATTAGAATATTTCTGATCATTCAGAAGCTCCAAAATGACTTTTCAAACACTGTAATGTCAGCAAGAAATCAAGAATATCTGCAATACATTTATATGTTAAACTATTGTTATGTCTATCTTCTGTGTAGCAAAGTAGGAAATTCTAGAAATAGCAACTTAAGATATGTTTGAGCCCTTGTATGCCTAATATGGCAGTATGCTCGGGAAATTGTAAGGACATTTGACTGTTGCTTATTAATTCTGTGTTCGCATAGTATTTACTTAGCGTTTTACCTCAGCTTCAAAGCTTCTGCTAGTGCTCTGCAGGGGCTAGAGAAGAAAAATATTTTTAATACCCAGTCCAGATTCTGGGCTGTTCAAAATTTTGGGTTTTTTTCCCTTCCTCGGAAGTGCAGAAGTAGTTCCTCAGCAGAACAGATCACAACTAAAAATGGCAAGGAATAAGGTATGCTAGGACTTCTAAAGGTAATACCATTCCTAAAGTGCTCGTGTGATGTACCTCAGGAACAGAACCAAAGCTCAGCTGTTTTTCAGATTGGGAAAAATTGAAGGAGAGAGTCTCATTCTGGACATTTTCCAAAGAACAAAAAAAAAGTTGGACAGGAAAAATAAAAATACGCATTCTGGTTATTTTACTTGTGATAGCAAAAGTTATTTAATCGTATTATAAATCAAATCATTTTTCAACTGGTAAAAAAACTCCACACTGAGTGGCAAAATATTTTGTTTATGGCTTCAGTAGGACAAACAAAAGAACACAGCAATATCAAAACATCAGCTGCCTCTTACCTGCTTGCATATGCACAAATATTGTCTACCAGTGGAAGATTCTTCAAAGCTGCTTCTACTTTGCCAAGAGAAACATATTCTCCTGCCTGGAGTTTTACAAGGTCTTTTTTACGATCTGTTGACAAAGAAAGATTTAAATGTTAGTTGCAGAACAAAAAAGTTCCGTAAAGAGATTAAAAAAAAAAAAAAAGAGAGAGATCTCAAAAGAGATATTGTCTTTATCCTTTTCTGAAATGTAAGTATGATTGCCAAAATGTAAGCTGACTCATGTTTGGTGAACGTATCAAACATTTAATACCAGATTCCCAAAAATCAATCTGTCCCTTACCGAAACACGATCCACATTTTAATTACACATATTTCCTGCCTTTGAAACAGCATCTTCTATATGATAGCACTAGCATTTCAATGGAACGCAGCTGTGATTATGTTAAAGCCCGTGGCTAGAAGCATACATTTTGTGCTCTTCGGTTCAGACACTTAAGGCAGGAGATGCAGCATCTGGTGGCATTTTATTACTTATTCTTACGATAAATCCCTATTTAAAGAGCAACTGTCCACCTGTTATCTGAGACACAACAGTCAGATTTGAAAATTAAGCCTGAATTACCTGAGCTTATTGTACACAGCCCAAAAAAGGCAAGCACGACCACAGGGCCTTATCCACCCAGCTGTGACAGCAGCTGGAATACCTCTCCCTTGGCACTAACACCTGTATACTTCTTTGTGCAGCCAGGCAAGGCAGTTTTGTAGCTGTCTCATCTGTTCAATCAGCACAAGGCAGCTGCAGTGGGACCTAAGATCTTGCCCATAACATAAAACAGATAAGCTTAGCACTAAGAATTCTAATTGCGGACCTATTTTGAAGGCTAATAAGCACCCTGAATCACCCACTGATTCAAGAAAGGCACAGGGTAGTTATTAGGGCAACTATTTTTCTGTCTATGGATGTCAGAGAACTAGGAGCCTAATACAGGCTCCTAATATAAATTACAAAATCAAACACAGCTTATTCAGCTCAAGTCAGCCTACATTTCTTAACTCTCTAATTATTACTCAGTCTCACTATCAGAGCTGAGTCATTGTTAAGACTGTCTTAAAAGAAAGCAATTAAAGCAATTATTTTAAAAATCAACTCTGAAAAACACACAGTAGAGGTTGCATTGTGAAGGAATCAGAATTTTCTTGGGAAGATGTATGGCAGAGCTTTCGACTGCATGCCAAGATATGCAGATTTGTGGTTAACACCGCTAGCAGCTCAGGAAAATGTGTGTGTGTTTATAAATACATAGCAAACATATGCGTACAGGCACACGCACACACACTTACCTGAATTTGCTATAACTCACCAATAATTTTCAGACACCCATCTTGATGAAACTCTCCAACATCTCCAGTATGGAGCCACCTCTGTCCATTCTCATCAACAGTGAAATCTTTGTTGGTTCGTTCTTCATTTTTGTAGTAGCCCACAGTCACATTTTGCCCTCCAATAAGAATCTCACCTCTAGGATACGGTTTATCAGTGTTGAAATATCCACCTAAAAAGACAGCTTTTATTAAGTTAATAGGAACTAAAAATATATTCCAAAGCCAGACTCCCTGTTATTGGTATTATTTAAATATAAAAATAAACCACTTAATTACTAAGTCCTTTGCCAAAGGTACCACTTGAAAACACTACATAAATAGCTCAGTAAGAGCAAAAAAAAAGGTCGAAACCCTGTCGGTATATAAATAGAGATTTAACATGTGTTTACTAACAGTGAATTTCATACACACGTACACACACACAGGTCAAATGCAACATCTGTGCAATCCTTCTGCTAGGACTGACATGCTGTATTTGTGTCATATAACTCAAATAAAAAGGATAAGTTTTACTTCATATTTTTAGGAAAAAAAACGATTATAGAGTTTCGCAATAGCCCCTCAACTCCTCCAAGTGTTACGTAGTTCTACTCTCCAATACATGAAAGTCTACAATGAGAGGGAATTGTCTAAACACTCTTTGAACCTTATGAACATATTTTTACAACATCCAGTAAGCTTCCACTCCATAGGCCACTGCGTTATTTGATTCTTAATGAAGATTATTTTGAAATTTCTTAATAGCAATAGGAGGTAACAGGCATCCACTGAAGCTGAAGTCTACTAAATCCAGCACTTCCAAGACACAACATACAAAACTAATCACACTCCTACAAGGATGCTAATCTGGATCAGAATGGTGAGGATGCTGTTTATGTGATCCCAATATGTATATACACTTATAATGTGACTTGAAAGAAATAATACAGCAAGAAAAAGCCATAACACAACCCATTCATAGTGTCATCCATGTGTCGATAGCTTCTGCCTAAACATTTGCAAGTTGAAAAACAACTGAGGAACTGATTTTATTCCCCATCCCACCCCCCAAGTCAAACTTACACTACTGAAACACAGCAGAATAACATTATTCTCTTGTGGAACAACAGAACAGAATTGGACCAACCCTGTCATCTTGTTATTCAACCCTGTCATCTTGTTATTCTCTCTTCCCAAGGTGCGTGTATCACTTTTCTGTCTTCAGATTTGAAATTAGCTAGACAACCTAGCCACCTCCTTTTCAATAAATAATAGAGATCTTAGGCTTCCTTAAGTACATCCTCCACCTACCAGAATATCAGCTAGCTGTTGCCTCTTGGACCTGAGATGCAAGCAGCAATTTTAATTTACGCTTTGGAAAGCCATGAAAAGAACAAAGTCCAATAGATAAATAGCTCTGTAAAGTTCTTGCAAACACACTAAAATTGCATGCAGAAATTCTCACCTTCTTCCCAGTTCATTAATTTGATTTCACAGCAGACCAAAGGTGCTCCTACTCTCCCTGTAGTGTAGTCCCATACTAGAATTCAGAAATAAAAGCTTTTTTCAGAAAAAAACTTTATCAAAACCTTATCAAAAGATTAGAAAAATCTTTATTGTTATGCACTTCATCTAGCAAAAACTAACTACTATTTATTTCTTTAGTTTATTTATTACAATAGAACTGTCAAAATGGCCAATAGATATATCAAAGTAACGCAAAATAAGTCCCTATCTTTTGAAGTTAGACCGCTGTATTTACAGATACCTCCAGTGATACCAACGTAGCTTTGACAATAAGCTGTCTATACGGATCACACTGCAGAAGCACCATTACAACTTAAAAAGCTTTTGTTTGACTCTTTCTGAAGGAAACGGTAATCAGCAATATTTCATAACAAGACAATGATTCTGTATTTTGGTTCACTTCTCTGATGTCTCAGTCCTATATTTTAGTATTACTTGGCATGGAGGACGGGGCGGGGTGGGGGGGAGGGGGCTCATACCTAACTATTCTAATAGTACTAAGTAAAATAATTCCTTTCTACCAAGAGAAACATAAAAATATTCTGTTTTGATGAAGTTTCCCATTACCCAAAGAATAACGAAAATGCCTCCAAGCGATCACAGCTCTGGAGTGCTGAAAGAATTCTGCTTACATGCTCCAAAAATTAGCAGCGGGCCTAGACTTTAAGAACAGAACTGAACCAGCTAATCCTTATAATCAGGGGTTAATTTTATTTATTGTTTAAACTTGGAGCTTCAGTAATCTATGCTGTGTTTCATCATTATCAGTTTTAACTGATGGTACTGAACTAGCGAAAAATGTAACTCTTGAGACTCCCTTGCACATTATAGAAGGGTAGAAAAAGATACCCTCAGCTATAACCAAAATCTGCTTTAATTTACACTATAAAACAGGAAGTGGTTGGCAGAAGAATGCTTTTCCTTAAAGGGAAGGTTTTTCCATTCCACTGTAGACAAAGGAAGACGCATCTTATTTCCCTAATGTATACTCAAACATTATCAAATATATTCATCAAAATTAGAAACAATTTATTCAGTTCAACTCGTAAGTGCAATAATGCCAAAATCCCATTCATACTACTACAAGCTTCTCCAAATCAAATGAGAACATTCGTCTTATACGTAGATCACCAGATCTAACACAATGCGCTCAGCACAGATCACAGCACTCAGTAGCATGCACCAGCACTAACCGTCAGTGATTGTTCCGGCTCCTGCTGATTCAGTCAGTCCATACCCCTGTCCTACAGGGCAACAGAAACAAATGTTCATAAATCGTTGAGTTGCTGCAGAGAGCGGAGCTCCTCCACAAAGCAGGATGCGAATTTTTCCACCTAGCAGCATTCGTACTTTCCGGAAAATAAGGCTAAAATACAAAGAAAAGAGGATGCATTTGTTGCTTTAAAACAAAATAAGCTAATTTCATATTTGAACTAAATGTTTTCACCAATTTCATATAAACTTTATGATATTCAAGTAAAACCTCCAAGTTTTCAAAAACACAGGCACAGATTTCTAAGTTCATTTCCACATTTTAATTTGAAGATATGTAAATGTCTTGAGAGTATATTTTTAGTAAAACATTGAAGTTAGTGATTTTCTCCTCAAAAATACTTGCAATAAACTGCAGAAATTTTGTAATTATAGCATCTTTTAGTCTCACTTCTGTGAGAATGTGAAGTCTACATATCATATAGATATCTATAGGAATAATTTCCCATCTTACCCACAAATTGTATAAAATCATTATTAAGGTCTAGATGGAAATAACACAATGAATAGAAATCTCCAGTCAGCTACAAGTTAAATAACTGATACTGGTAAATCACATCAGTAAGTATTTAAAACTGGCAGAAAAACTACTGCTGATTTGTTTTATACAGATTTGTTAATGTCTGATTCAAAGTCTAAACACTGAAACAAAAAAAAAAACCACATACACAATAGAAATCAGATATTGCTCACGTGGTAAGGCTTAGATGAGCATTTTTTTTGGCCATTAAAAATAAACTTAAAATTACCTATCACAGAGCGGGGTAGTGTAGCCTTTGGAAATCTGTTCCATTTTGTAATTGTAGGCCAAAATAAATAGATTCCGCTGGAAACTAGTCATTTCATTCACTTTATTCATGACATTTTTGTAGATCCGATCCATAATTTCCTAGTTACATAAAAGATTAACTCAAAATATCCACAATCTTAAATTCAATACAACAAAAAGGGAACATGATCCAGAAGTTCTAGAGTATTTCAAATGACAAATCACTCCCAGTTGCTGCTTAGTCCATTGCTAAATGATAGCAAGATATTTAGGGAAACTGAGGAAAGTAAATATCTGAGTAGGACCACTGCTCAATCTTAATCTACCTGCTGCCAAATTATCTTTACTCTATGAAGTACTATGCAGGTGGGAGTCCATTCATCTCTTGACTAGCAGCTTGCACTCCACTGAAATTATTGCAAAAGCTGGCATGTTGCTAAATAGGCAACTACTGTAAAGTCTATGCCAAGGGCCACTTTCTTCACATGACGGCTATCTTTAACCTATATATGTGTGTGTGTACACGTGTGTACACACATACATATATACAGTGTTTACTATCATGAGCACGTAACTAAAATGCCAATCTAAACCCTGTAACTATTTGAATTTTTTCAGCTTGACATTCATGTGTTAAGTATTCATTTTAACATACATATAAATACAGAAAATTCCATGTGAAGCTAGCTTAATATTCAAGGCTCTACCTTTTTATTTTCAATGATAATTGCATTAATTTTGTTGTTAAAAATCTGAATTATGAAATATAAAGAGATTCATCTTTCAGCTACTTACCGGGACAGCGGCCATTAGGGTTGGTCTAAGCGTAGTAACATCACCTTTGCTTCCTTTCTTTATTTTAGAGGACTAAAGTGAAGAATAAGTTAACTGGAGGACTTATCCAAGATTTTTAACATGTGAAACAAAATTACATAGTACATCTTGCAAATTATCATTTATATTATCTTTTAGCAGTTAAAACTAGCCCAGAGTAGTAGTTATTACCCCAAAATCCTGTTTCATAAATTGTAAAAAAGGAGACTTGCTGTAACATTTGAAAAAAATATTATTAGATCTAACATGACTAATATTCTACTATGTGGGCTTGACATACATCAACAACCTACCTGGTCAGCTAATGTCTGAGGTGATGAGTAGCCAATGCGGCATCCATGAGACAGACAGACAAGTTCAGCACTCAGCTCTAGAACATGGGCAAGGGGTAAATAGCCAACATAGATGTCTTTTTCCCTGTGAAGAATTTTTGAAAGATAGGTTTATGTTGTATTATTAGAGTCCTCAGAAAAGTCAGTATGCTGAATTTACACAGAGCTTACTGAAGAACCGGAAAAAGTGAAAGAACGCCTTTGGGCTTAAGAACATATTTCAAACACTGTTTTTTGAATCAGAAGTTGTATATTGCCCATTGCAAGTTTAGGGAAAAGGAACAAAGTGTGACATTTATTCATCCCAAAACAATTAATAGTGTCTTAGGCTTGCAAAGGTAACTCTGTGCACAAGATTAAGTACTGCATCAAACACAAAAAAAATATAATTTAACACTAACGAAAGGAAGTACCGCTTAGAGTAGTTTGCAACCCCCTCTGTGCAAAGCGGCCTCACAGGTTTTAGTATCATATTTTAAAAATTCATCTTAGTTGCTCTGTTCAGAATACTGCTATTTGACTTTAAGTGATCTCTTAGCAATGTAATATTTTCAACTGAAAGGTAAAATCACTATACAGATAAGCAAGTAAGTAATCTACAGTAATTCCTTTGAAAAATGTGGAAGAGCTAGCAGTATGAGTGCTTCAGATAAACAGCCTGCATTTCTGGTACACAGGAGCCACCTAATCGGACAAAGCTTATCTGCGAGGATGACTTATTTTCCTCAAATGACAATCTAAGAACGTAAACCAAACCAAGAACATCAGAAATCTCATCACTTACTGCTCCATGTACTGAGGGTTGGGGGGGGAAGGGAGGGGGGGTTGTTCTCTTAACCAAAACATACTATCTTTCCCAAATACAGAAGACGAGAGAACAACTAGCACATTAAATAATCATGGCATTTAATGCAATACTGGAAGATGCTCAGACTGTGTGTAGTAGTACGATGCCACAGACAAAGCAGTATAAAACAGGTAATCTACAATTACATCCAAGTATATTAAAGCATCTGTCAGTACGTACCCCAAATTAGGGATCCTTTCCGCCATCCCAGTTATACCGGCAATTATGTTGCAATGGGAGATCATAACTCCTTTGGGAATGCCTGTGGATCCACTTGTGTACATGATTACTGCAATATCTGAGGGTACAGGCCTCGCCTGCTGTTTGTTTCCTGTAATTTTTATTGAAAAAGAGAACGTATAACGTGTGGAAAGCCTATCAGATTGCAAGATCTTAAGTACTAATATATTACAACAATTGTTCTGATATATAAACTACATAACCATTGCTATTACATTTTGCTTTCAGTTAAAAGTTTGTGGTCAAGCTTAAGTGCCTTTCACAGAGGGTAGGTACTTCTTTGTATTAGAAGTGCTATACTTTTGAGTGACTTGGATAGAAAAATTGCTGCCTCTGTAGACTATTATGCCTCCTGTGTTCCTGCAGAGGAAAGGAAAAACGCACAGAGCTTTGACTTCTCCAAAATACTACTGAGCTTCATTTCTTCAAGGTATCTGTCACTAATTCCAGCTACCACAAGGTAAATCCTCACTTACAAAGCTACTTCGTCATGAGCTTCCGCTAGTAGAGGGGCAACATGCTCCTCACTCATAGCACTACAGCAAGACACTACTGAGCTGACCTGAGGTCCAAATTCTGTAAGTATTTAAACAAAGTTCAATAGCTTTTATAGGATTAAAGCATTTAAGTGCATAAAGCAAAAATATCCACAACATGTGTTTTTTAATTCCTAAACTGAGAGCAAGAAAGCAAAAGAACAATTCTGCAGACTCTCCTTTGAACACATACAACGTGCAATACTCGTGGCACAACATACGCACTGAATGAGAACAGTGAAAACACATTTAACGGTTTCCCACTCACTGAACCCTGTCCATTCCATACAGTAAATGGCACAGAGGAAAAAAGTATAAAACGAGCACAGTTACTTAACAGAATTAACATTCAGTTAAAACCGTTTATGGTCAACCACATTAACTGTAGTATTCCATAATCTCTGAACGGCTGACTTGACAAATGTAACGTTCCTTTATTACAGTATGCAATATTTAAAAGATTGAAGAAAGAAGAATTATATGCCATTTTACATAGCACTTAGATTAACGAGTCTTGAGCCTCTCATGAATTACAGCCATTATTTATTCTGTGGGTGTTATCTGAAACAGTTTTAGTAGTACATAGAAATGGCATATCAAAAAAGGGAAGACAATCTTTTAAAGCAGCCGAGTATTTGAGAGTCCATCAAATTGGGAACAAATCTGTCATTTCCCTGAAAATCAACAACGGATGGATTAACCACCCACATTCGTTTGCGAATTTAACAAAATTTAAGTTGCAAATTACTTATGTCATTTGCCATAAAATGTGGAGTAGCTTTTCCTTGCGTGTTCTGAACAACCCATTTTTAATACATCTGATTATACGAATGCATTCTAAATTTCTATCCTAGCCCAAAGCTTATCCTAAAAATTATTCTTCAGCCTACACGGAATTTGTTTATAGAGAAGACAGTTTTCATTAAAAGGATTTGACTCCACTTTAATTAAAACAAACAAACTTGTTTTCAGTAAAGATAAAGCAGATCAGAAAAGGTTAATCATTGCATAATTTCCTGAGACCTACAACTTCCCCAAAGTTCCTCAACAGGGTCAGAGTAGGACAACAATTTAGATGATCCAAATAGAAAGCAAAGATAACCTACCAGTGTCTGTCTTGGCCCCCATAGCTTGCACAGAAGCCATAGTGTGAACAATGACGCCCTTGGGAAACTCTGACCATGTTGTTGGTTTGCCATCCACTGTAATAATGTGTCGCAGTCGTGGAACTTGAGAAACTATTTCCTGGGGAAATGAACATTTGTTCAGAAAGTAAACGTGAGGTTTGTGCCAACAAGAAAAAAAAAATCTATACTGTATAAACACTGACTTAAAATATCAGAGGATTTAAAATACTGGAGGATAACCTCGTCTAGCTCCAACAATTGCAAAGCTTGAAATTCTCTGTCCTTAGATTTGCAGGACTAATTGAACTTTCCACTTAGAAGGTCAACAGTTTTTTCCAAATATTTACTAATCTGAGCCTTATTTCAAGAAATGCCCACAAATAGGACAGCAAAGATTTGTAGAGATAATTGACTCTTCACTCTCATAGAACACTGACAAAAAAACGTCGTGGGCAACACTCAGATCACAGTAATTTCTATGTTGCTTCTTGATTACTGGGCTATTTAAAATATTTGTTGTTTTGGTTTGGTTTTTTTGTTTAGGTTGGAAGGGACCTCCGGAGCTCATCTAGTCCAACCTCCCTGCTCAAGCAGGGTCACCTAGAGCCTATTGCCCAGGATCGCGTCCAGGCGGGTTTTGAATATCTCCAGCGAAGGAGACTCCACTACCTCTCTGGGCAACCTGTTCCAATGCTCTGTCACCCTCACAGTGAAGAAGTTTTTTCTCAGGTTCAGATGGAACTTCTTGCGGTTCAGTTTCTGCCCGTTGCCTCCTGTCGCCGGGCACCACGGAGAAGAGTCTGGCCCCATCCTCTTCATACCCCCCCCCTTCAGATACTTGTACACGTTGATGAGATCGCCTCTCAATCGTCTCTTCTCCAGGCTGAACAGGCCCAGCTCTTGCAGTCTTTCTTCAGAGGAGAGGTGCTCCAGTCCCCTCATCATCTTGGTAGCCCTCCGCTGGACTCTTTCCAGTAGCGCCATGTCTCTCTTGTACTGGGGAGCCCAGAACTGGACACAGTACTCCAGGGGAGGCCTCCCCAGGGCTGAGGAGAGGGGCAGGATCACCTCCCTCCACCTGCTGGCAACACTCTTCCTCATGCACCCCAGGAGACCACTGGCCTTCTTGGCCACAAGGGCACATTGCTGCCTCATGCTTGCCTTGTTGTCCACCAGCACTCCCAGGTCCTTCTCGGCAGAGCTGCTTTCCAGCAGGTCAACCCCCAGCCTGTACTGGTGCATGGGGTTACTCCTCCCTAGGTGCAGGACCTTGCACTTGCCTTTGTGGAACTTCAGGAGGTTCCTCTCTGCCCAACTCTCCAGCCTGTCCAGGTCCCTCTGAATGACAGCACAGCCTTCTGGTGTGTCAGCCACTCCCCCCCAGTTTCATATCATCAGCAAACTTGCTGAGGGTGCATTCTGTGCCTTCATCCAGGTCATTGATGACTACATTGAACAAGACTGGACCCAGGACTGACCCCCCGAGGGACACCGCTAGCTACAGGCCTCCAGCTAGACTCTGTGCCACCGACCACAACCCTCTGAGCTCGGCCATCCAGCCAGTTCTCAATCCACCTCGCCGTCCACTCATCCAACCCACACTTCCTGAGTGTGCATACTGCACAATATGCAGCAGTTAACACAAAAAATGATTGTTTAAGTAGCAATTAAGCACTATAAGCAAAATATGAGTTCTAAAACAACTATGAACACTCAAGTGAAAGATAATTATCACCTCTGGCAGAGGCAATTCATTCTTTCACAATGTACACTTATTTTAGCTTGTAATATATCCAGTGTCATTCTGGTAACTTAAGCAAAAAAATAAGGCTTGGGGAACTCTCATTCAAAAATGCAGCAGTGCACAGTTTTTAGTTAAAACAACTGTATTCCTCTGCATGAAAGGTCTAATTCCTATAAAATATACTAAGATGAAGCTCATGCAAATTCACTGTTTTGCTTGCGCATTCTTCTTCCAGGACAGTACGGGCTTGGAATACGGTGGGTATCCCGCAGTCAGAGCTTTGCCACAGAGTTACTGTGCACTAGTTCCTTCCTACTCCTGCTGGCCTGGCAGTAACGAAACAGGGGCAAGTTACCTAAACGGTAAGCGCTGCAGGGCTGTAGCATAACCACAGACAGTTACCTGGGAGTAACTAATATGCAGTAAAGACAGGCTGACTCTAATCCATTCATACTCTCAGAGATCAAAGCCTCTGAAGAAAGGGAACAACAGAGCCCGAAAGTTCTTCTGAAAAGAGCTAAGGAACTTCACAGATCCGCTACAGCACTTCAGAGTTTAAAACCAGGCACTTACATTTCTGCATCAGCCTCCTAGAAACCTAATTATTTAAGGCAGCAAATTGAAACCCTAAACTACTCTTATGGTGTTTTTGATTTTTATTTAATAGAAATTTAGTCAGACAAAATGCTTTTTGAACACATTTGTTGGCTAACATGCTAGGTATAACATCAATAATAAAACAGGAAGATCTCATTTAAACTACTTTAATGAAAATATTTAATAAACTTTCTCCAACACTGGAAAACAGCACTAACTATTCAAGCATCAGTCTTCAGATTTAAGAGCCATTTTCTGCCGGAAAGACATCCAACAATACATCAGGAGTATTATCGTATTTAGCTATTCATATGAAGTTTATGCATTTTCTGTTCCTCCCATTTGCTTCAACTGTTAATCTGTTACACCACTAAAGCCACCCAGAAACCACAGCACCTTCTTGTGAAGGCGTTGTTCTAGGTAGCATTGCATCTCTTCAATAGCGCAACTACTTCATCCTATTCTCAGGAGTCATTCAGGAGCCTAAATCCCACCAAAGCCTAACTACTGTGTTTTCTGTATATGAAGACAGATTATATAAACTTGTTTTAAAAGAAGTGTCTGCACTATGAAAGGGCAAGAAAGTTAATCATTGCTCCATACAGCTACATGGACCTTTTAACAATAAGGAACTAGATATACTGGAGGGAGATTCACAAACAAGCAACATTTTTCTCACCTTCAGTTTTGTATGCATCAATTCTTTACTAGTAATGATGGTAGTCACCTCCGTTTCATTTAACCCATGTACTATCGCTGGGCCTCCCAGAGTAGCATACAGTGTAACCACTGAAAGAAAAATAAGAAAAAGAAACTGGTGAATCCCTATTTTACACTTTCAAATTTACAAAAACAAACAAACAAAAAAAAGCTTCGGATTAATCTACTCATGTGAGCCAAAACAGCAAAAATCTGTTTATCAGCTAGTATAAAGGTGGAGTAGTTTTCTGCTTTAAAAAAAAAAAAAATAAAGCACATTATAAGGACTTAAAGACAGCCTAATTTCTCAATTGCTCACAAACGTAATAAATAACAAAGACTAGACAGTCGATATGACTGTTTACTATTTGTCAGGCTCTAACTGGAAGTTAGAGCCCACATTATCCTGTGTAATTCTCCAAACCTACTCTTATCTTCATAGCTTTTAACGTTTTAAATACAGGCATCTGTTCTCAGTTTAATAAACACTTTACAAGGTTTAACAGTCCTCTTGTACACAGGAAAAAAAGGCAGTTACTTGACTTCTCTTTTTAGAATTCGTAGGTTCTGTTGCTCACTGTTTAGAGCCCATTGCTAATAAAAAGTTATTAAAACAGTGTAATACATGTTATCAACAGATTAATTCCCACACTCAGTAATAAATCTTTGACTACCATATTCCCTCATCTGTTTAAAGCAAGCTAATAAAGGTTTAATCACCACAACCGTTAGACATAGACTAACATTGTGAGAACACAGTATCACAAGGACAGAAAATAAAGTTTTTCCTAACAGTCAATTCCTTAAATGTTTTGTGTATTTTAAGGGTAATTCATTAACAACACAGTGCTAAACCATAATTCTTTCATATTAACCATTTTAAAACCAAATTTCACTTCCTGCTATTTAGGGAACTGCACGATAAAAGAAAGTAAGTTATACGCAGGAAGGGATTGAGGGAAGAATGAGGCAGCTCAGAAAGGAAGAGAGATATTGCCCTTAAAACAAAGCTAATTTTCAATTTTCCAAACACAATACTAAATGAGATGATGGCAATTCAGTATAGTTCACATCTTGAAGTTATAAAATCACTTATCACAACCATTAAAAATTACATAAATGCTGGAAGTTATGTCACGTGAGACATCTGAATTTCTTTTGTACTTCAATCTGGACAGGTCACTGAAAATTTAAACATAGCAATTATTAAAACAAAAGACTACTATAATTTAGAGCTTTAACTGCAGTACATTTACTGTAGAGACAGATAAAACTCCATTGTAGTCTAAGAGCTGAAATGCAAAGAGTTACTAACTCAGTACAGTAAACTAAGGAAGAACTCAAAAGCAGACAGTTTCCTTGCACAAAAAAGTAAACAGTTGACCTCTACTTATTTTTTCCTTGTTAAAACAGTCTATCATAGTTCAGAGCTGTTGCAGGGCAAACGCACATGCACAGTGTTTGCTTTAATTTGGTGGGAGCAAAGTCCAGAAGAGTGCCTCTACTAGTTCCCACGAGCTCTCTCGACTTACTTCTGTGACCCCTGTTATATAAACATCTAGCAGAAATTCAGTTTCCCCAAGCCAACAAGCACAACTGAGATGCCACATTAGCTGGAAAGAAAAGTATAATCTCTAATAACCATTCACAGAATTAATTACTCATCTACAAAATAAATACATCAAAAACAACTCATAGTTACACGATGGAGCCAAAGAAACAGAGAGCTATACCTTTTATAAGGTGGTGTATCAAGGTCATGGAGAGAAAGAAAGGTGAGTAACCAGTCTGATCTGCAAAATTCTCTTTCTCTACATTGACACACAAAACCTTGTTCAGATGCATCTGAAAGTGGTTTAGGTATTTAATTTTTCCCCCTTTTCTACTGGAGACTTGCTGAGAAGGGGTTTTTTTTTGTGCTTGTCTTTACACAAGCAATATCAAAAATAAGATGTAAATTCAAAATTTTTACTTGATTTTATGCTAGAAATACTGCTCTAAGAAAAGTCTGACAAAAAGAAAAATCTTAACAACACTGAATCTGCCACCTCATTATACAAGAGCAAAGCCTTGCCCACCCAAAATAGGATTTTTGCCATTTACTTCTGTGCAACTAAAATTTCAAACTGAGTATTTCATCCTCCATCATATCAAATATAAAAAGCAAAGTATACTTTTAAAGGTGTCAGGAAAATCAATCCTGACAAAAACAATTCTGCTGAAGCTTCAGGAAAGTGTGAATGAACACTGGATATACACCCTTTCTTATTTATTTAATGATTTAGTTACAGGCTCAGGTGCTCTATCTGCTCACACTGGTGAAGAGCTCTTCACACAGATGAAGAAAAGATATTTTGAAAGAAAATGTATTTGCTAGCAGCCCCTTTCTACCTCCTGCAAGGCTTACTGAGCCTCAGTGTACAAATATGATAGCAGAACACGCAGGATATTTCTAATCCTTAAATCACTTATCTGTACAATACCTAATATTAAAATGATTTTCCCCATTTTCGTACTAAAGTACAAAAGGCATTCTCTCCAACGGTAGATATGAAGCACGTGTAGCTTACATTGACGTAAATTCACAACACTATCAGAACAGCTTGCTCTTGTAAAATTTGAAAACTGAAAAAAGCTAATATTAAATAAGTAACTGAGTAATGTTTTGCCACGCTACTACTAAAACAAAATGTGAATTTTGTAATTTCACTCTGCAAAATGACTACGTGAATACTGCATGATAGTATCATCTGCCAACATGCAAGCCAGCCAAGTTCATGTAAGATCACATACAGCTTAGACGCTAAATACCACGTCAGACGCTGTGCTGAAGCACGTCTCAAAAAGGGAGATTAAACATTAATCCAACAAAACCAGAAACATATGCATACCATTCTACACACAACATCCATCTAGTCACTATGTCAAATTTTTTCTAATTACGAAATATTCCTAGAATTTGTAAATGTACTTCACTTCCAAGGATAAAATAAATGACCCAAACATTTGTGTTTTATTCCTGGGATGGTCACTAGGAATTTAATAGATCCCAAAAGTGATAACAGGGAACAAACACAACATACTGCGAGAACTGTAATCAAAAGCCAAGGCAGACATCTCAGCAGAGAACAGTTTGTGCAGTTCTCTATTCCAGGAGAAAAGTTAGCAGCAGTCACTCAATGAAGAAAGGGCAAAAATATCTCTGAATTTAGGTTGGAAAGCACCTGTGAAGGTCACATAGTCCAACCCGTGCTCAAAGCAGGTCATTAGAGTAGGTTGCTCAAGGCCACGTCCAGTCAAGTTTTGAGTATCTCCAGGGATGGAAATTCCACAACAACTCTAGGCTCTGGTATTTAAGTACCCTCACAGAGAAAAAGGATTTTCTAACGTCTAATCAAATCTTCCTGTGTTTAAACTTGTGTCTGTTACCTCCTGTCCTACCAAAACACACGTCGCGTTTTCCAATACTCCTAACCATCTTGGCAGGCCTCCACCAGACTCTCTCCAGTATGTCAATCTCTGTCTTGTACTGGGAAGACCCAAACTGGACACGGTACTCTGCATGTGGTCTGACTAGTGCCCAAATAGAGAGGAAGGATCACTTCCCTGAACCTACCTTGCTTGCTACAGATATGCTACTACAGCCCAGGATGCTGTTGGTCGTCTTCACTGCAAGGGAGCACTGCTGACTCATGTTTAAATTTCTGCCCACCAAGAGCCTGGGGTCCTTTTCCGCAAAGCTGCTCTCTGTCTCGTCGTCCCCCAGCCTGTACTGGGGCATGGGGTTATCCCAGCCCAAACACAGGAATTTCCATTTGCTTTTGCTGAACTTCATCAGGTTCCTGTCAGCCTATTTCTCCAGCCTGTCAAGGATCCTCTGAACATCAGCCCTGCCCTCCAGCCTATTGACTGCTCCCCCACAATTTGCTATTGGCTGAGAACCTGCTCTGTTTGCATTTTGTCCCATCATCCAGGTCATCAGTAAAGACATTAAACAGTATTGGACTCAGTATCAATCCCCATCGGCTGACAGCTAACTTTGTACTGCTGATCACAATCCTTTTGAGTCACGGTCCAGTGGCTTTTCCATCCACCTCATCATCCATTTATCCAGTCCTTATCTCACTGGTTTAGCTACACAGATACTGCAGGAGA